CGCCTGGGATTCGCTTGCTTGCCTTTCATGTGACCCGGCGGCTTGACGTTTGTCAACTGACCCCTGAAACCGCATCTTTCATTGTGCTGGCCTTTTAATGGCCTCAGATTAGGGAGCAGACAGCCGGCAACTCAGGGTAGCCAATAGCGCAGCCTAATCTTTTGTATTTTGTATGACCAGCTGGATTTGTTGAAAGTGTGAAAAGAGTTTACCTGATGCCTCTGGGGTCGAAGACTTGGTCAGAATCGCACATGATGTTTTCAGCGCCTCGAGTAACATGTAGGATTCAGATTTAAAGTGGGGTTAAAGAATAAGCAGCCAAGGTCAAGGCAAATGTTTTCGTATGATTCATTTAAATTGCATCAATATAGAAAAACAGAACTCCGGAAGGCTGAGAAAGACTTTTTTTTTTTTCACCAGTAAGTGTACTTCGTCTGACAGCTAAATTGCACCTCTTCTTTGACTTCTGCAATTATCAGCTTTTATTAGAAATAGTATTCTGAAGTTTCTCTTTTTGTACCAGGAGTTTGGAAGGCATCATTTGCTAGGCCTGCATATGATATGACAGCACTCTGAAGGGGTATGGATACGTAAAGTGAGGTCTTGCTGACCATTTTGAAATCACAGATGTTGGGACATTTTTTGGGCTAGTCTCTTCCTTGTTTTTTTCACATTCTTGTATTCAAGTGCAATGCAAATGCAATCATACACACTAAATCCATCAATCAACACTTTATTAATGCAGATGATGTAACTGATCACTTTTTTGAATTTCACAATAATGAGGCAAACAGTGTTAACTTTACATAAAGCATTATTGGTTTTAGTGTGTTGTTTTAGGACTTAATATTCCAACGAGGCAAATGAGAGGTGGAAAAAAAAAAGTGAACCTCATAAAAGTTGCTAAGAAAAGAGCCAGTTCATAACCAACCACAAAATCAAGAGAGAGAAATTAGAAATTATGTTTTGCATAAAGAACATAAATCCCATCTTTTGATGTCAGTGTGATATGATTACCTTGATGATAAATATTAAATAATGTTAAGCAAAACTGTAAATAATTCATCATGTCAGTACTGGTTTTTGAATTTAATTTATGCTGGTTTATTTATTCTTAAATTAATTTTTAAGTTAAAATTGTGTTCAAATTACTGTAATTTTTTTATTTTCTTTATAGAAAATGTATTTTTTTATAATGAAAACAATCTAAAAATGATTTATTTACATGTTAAGGCTTGTTTTTTGATAATTTCTAGAATCATCTGTAGAATCATCTATCTTTTTCTTGTAGAACTGAAATATTTTCTTTTTTTTTTTCACTTGTTTATTCATAAACCACTGCAAAATAAAATAAAATAATTAAATTAAATTAAATTAAATTAAATTAAATTAAATTAAATTAAATTAAATTAAATTAAATTAAATTAAATTAAATTAAATTAAATTAAATTAAATTAAATTAAATTAAATTAAATTAAATTAAATTAAATTAAATTAAATTAAATTAAATTAAATTAAATTAAATTAAGTTAAGTTAAGTTAAGTTAAGTTAAGTTAAGTTAAATTAAATTATGAAATCATTTAATATTATGATTTGATTTTCTTTCTACATGATGGAGGTGCTGGCAAAAGGCAGTGCAAAAAATAAAAATAAACATGTTCACACTGTTAACTGAGGGCAAGGTGAATAAATGTTTATTTTCCCTCTGATAACATTGTTTACTGATCCAGACAGCTTGCAAGTAATATTTTTTTTTAGTCCTCATCCTCAATTTGCAATAGTTTTGACATGTACTTCATTCATTCATTCATTCAAGTTACTGGTTCCCTAATTTTTTACCAAGGTTGTGTGAGGAAACA